GACAGGATAAGAAATTAAATCCTCTGATAAAAACTACAAAGATATTCTTGCATAATTAAAAATCCCGCTCTAATAAAATAGTGCAATATAAGAAGGTAATTTTAATTTTTATTGATATTTTAGCATCCAATTACATCACTACACTACTTATATCCCAAGAAGCAATATTTCAAGCCAAAGGAGCTTTAATTTTGAGAGGAGAGTTTATCAATCAATCAGGTATAGATTTAAAGACATTGTTTAAACAAAAAGGAAGTTGCATTTTAGAAGACCTTCAGACAAAGTGATAATTATTATTCATAAAGAACATTAAAACATTTATTATTTAAATTCATTCTTTATATTTTTTTAATTATATCTTTTCTTTGCTCTATACTTTATTTTGATTTCTTAAGATTTATACAAGTTTTTCAAAAGTATTCCATTTTAAGGAAATGTATTTATCTTAAAAAAAACTGATTTAATTAACATTTATAGAGATTTAATGTTAAATGATACTAAGCAAAATGAAGAGATTAAAATAAAGATTAATTTTAATTACTTAATTAAAACCTTAAATTAACAAAACTGCATGATTATTTCATAAGATATTCTGATAATTTATTTAATTAATTACTATTTATAAACATAAGTCTTAATAGATATAATTAATAATTTTGTAAAATTAGTTTTTATAAATAGTAAAAGATATATTTAATAACAAAGATATGACAAGAATTAAAAAAATTAAAGTTAATCTTCTAAACTATATAACAAAGTTAAAACTCCCAAACCCAAACCCAAACCCAAACCCAAATGTGGATGCAATATTTCAAAAAGTAAAAGTTCTCTTTTTTACAATACTCCCTTTGGTTTGTTTCAAAATGTTAAAAATAATTTTACCACAATTTCCCTCTAATAGGTGACAACCTATATCTGAGGGGTCATAAAAAATATATTAAATCTGACAGAAAACTAAAAAAAATCCAACATTCCAATCATAATTCTAAGACATACTCCAATCTTAAAACAATTAGCTTAAAATTTAAAGATAACCAAGAAAAATCAAAGAATTAATCTTAGAACTCAATTTTTGTATAAATTAAAATATTCATATAAAAAAAAAATATTCTATATTATTACAAAATCAAGTAATGCAGATGTTGAAATGAATTCTCAATAGCATCATTTACATCTATTACAATCAATTCCAAATCTAAACAAAGTTCTATCTTCTATTTAACAAAAATGCACAAGATACTTTTAGCTATTTTGCAGTATATAAATGGAAGTTAGAGTAATAGAAATTCAATATTAAAAATAATGAATTGCACTTATCATATCAAAAATCCAATATCTTTGATATGTATAGCCCCTCATAAGTGCTAATGCTAAAGGAAACTTTGTGTTGAATGCCTTTACGAACATGAAGTGGATATGAAAAAACATGCAATTCCGATTACTAAATTTCAAGAAATGGCAATGAAGAAATTAAAAGACTTCAACCTTAATGATACAACTGAGTTAACCAAATAGAGAGTGGCCTTTAAAGCCTTGCTCACTCAAACAGAATTAATGATGAAGAAAATTTGGGAAGAATTGTCACAATCTATCAAATAAGTATACGATTAGATTGAAAAGGAAAACTAATCATACTTAAACCTCATTAATGAAAACACCAATCTAGCTGAATCCTCTTACACTGATATAGAATAATTAGTCAAAATTGTAGAAGGAACAACTTTAATAGATTGGAATGCTTAGAAGAATTCTTATATGAAGGAGTTAGATAAGACCAAGAGCTGGTGGGACCAGCATATAAAGGCTTTTATTGAGAAGTCTAACTAAGGAATTCAATAGATCCAATCATTAATTAAGTAAGTCTTATAAATCTTATCTCTAGGGAAGACGAAGAAGAAGTTTATTTAATGAAGGAAGATCTTTATGAGATGCTAAAGTACACCCAAGATATTGATGAAACTATCTATAAGAAGGTTCTTGAAATACTTAATAAAGAGAAAGTTTCAGACATTATTGGATTCCTGTCGAAGACAAACAATAATCAGTTTTATGAATCTTTAAACTACAAGTAAGAGAATATAATGGTGATCAAGAAGTAAGTAAAGAAAATAACTAATGTCTTGAAAAATATTTAGGATCATCAATATAATAAAGATGACTATTCTCAAGAAACATATGAAAAGGAAAGAGCGGATCTGATCAAGAGGATGAAGGATAACTAAGGGATCACAGATTTCATCAAATTTTTAGTACGACTAACTAGCATAGATGGAAAATTCATTCAATCGGGATCAAATGGACTTAGTTTATTAGTGGCCATGAAGGTTGATATAAGGAACCAATCCTTTGAGAATATCAGGATCAAGAATACTTCTTTAATTGGAGGGAATTTTGTAAGATGTAACTTGAGTGAATCAGAGTTTGAAAATGTAGAAATCAGTGGATTGAATTTGAATGGTGCTTAATTATTCAATTGTAAATGGAAGAACATGAAAATCCATGAATTGAACAAATTAGATGGTCACAGCGGAAGTGTATTGTCAGTCTAAATTTCTCCAAATGGAAATACTTTAGCATCTGCATCTGGTAATTCAGATAAGTCTATCCGTCTTTGGGATGTAAAAACAGGATAACAAAAAGCCAAATTAGATGGTCATACTGACGCGGTCTGGTCAGTATGTTTCTCTCCTGATGGAAAAACATTAGCTTCTGGTAGTGTTGATAAGTCTATCCGTCTATGGGATGTCAAAACAGGATAATAAAAAGCCAAATTAGATGGTCATACT